AGACCTGTAGAGGGACACAGGAACTGTCAGCCATGGAGGGTGGCGGGGGAACAAGTGAGAGAGGCGAGGAGAGGCATATCTCTTCCTGGAGGGCTCTGCTCACTGCCCCGGAATTCCGCATGGGCTGCATGCCCCAACCGAGCGGAGCGGCCCCAGAAACAGAGCTGCCGGGCTGGGACTGGGGCTGGGACTGGGGCTGGGCGGTGGGTAGCGAGTACGGCTGCGTGTTTGTGCACACCAGGCCCTGGTGTCTGCTCAGGATGTGAAACCATGCTTTTGTGCATGTGCCAAGGAGGAGCCTAAACTTCTGGCCTGCTTCCTATTTCCCCAGGACACCTGGGACGCGGCTCTGGTCTCAGCAGAACCCAGATGAGGGGCTGTTGCTGGTGGCCAGATTGTCCCCGCCACTCATTCTTTTCTGAGCGGCAGGCACATGGCGGCGGCGAACAGACTGAAAGGGGGAAAGACAATCCTGTCTGGGTGGTGGCTTTATGGAAGATTTGGGGCCTTGTTTGCCATAGACACAAGGCCTGATTTAGCTCAACAATCCTGTGGTGTGCACGAATACCTTTCTAGAATGCCTGCTTTCCCGTCCCTGGGCATGGTGGCGGGACTATTGGAGGCTTGGCTTTTTCTTTTTCTTGCTTTGATTTATTTGAATGCTCTCCCCTACCTTCTGTTATTTTTTTCTACATTTCTTCATGAACTTTGTTCCTGATTTCCATTTTTTTTCCTTTGAGCTTTTTAAGACTTACCTCCTCCAGGTAAATTTCTAAATTCTTAAGGCTCACTTTATTTTCTCAGCAGCTTACTTTTATCTCTTATATGATCTCAGCCCACAAGCATTAATCAACAGAAAACCAAATTCATCATCACGGTCGCTGACACAGAGATACCACTTGGGCCTTTGCCCTCCCTGTCATCTTATTCTATAAAGCGGGACTCAATTTCCCATAAGCAGAAGCAAAATTTCTATTTAAGTCCCACTCGCAAGGTCTGGGCGAGCTTCCTATTTATAGTAAAATCCTTTTTATAATGATCTCATATACAGTACCAGGAAATTGCTCATGGCTGGGTCAGGCCATAGGCCAATCTAGCTATGGTGTGAGCTTTACGTAAAAAAAATTCCTCCATGAGCCTCTGGAATTCTCCAGAGAAGTGTTTTCACAGAGTATAGGACAATAAACAGGATCACCCGGGATGGATTACTTTGGTAGGAACTTAAATTTAAGTTCAAAGGGAATTTCTTCTTTTATCGGGCCAATCTCAATAATTTTTATTGCTTTGGGCTTCGTAAATAACGTATTGGGTGAATCAGGTCGACTCTAAAGAGATTTATGAAATATTTTATATGCAAGGTCTGGCCAGAAAGTGTTTGCCTCTGGACTTCCCAGGAGGTGGAGAAGTGTGATTAGTGGCAGAATCTCTGAGGACACCTACAAACCAGGGGGGAATCCTGCCTCCAAGGAGGTGTAACTGGGGCCCGGAGCCCGCACTGTAATCCTTCCAGATTGCTCTTACCTCATCTGTCAAATAATCCGTACTTCACAAAGTTTTTATAAAAATCATGAAATAACGTATGTAAAGCATCCAGCATCAGATCCACCCTGTGTAGTATAATAGATCTCTCCTGCTTTTTCTTCTCAATAAACAGTCAAACAAAAGGGAGGCTGAGTGTATAGGCACAACCTGATATCCTCTTCTCAAGAGACAATGAGTCACAGTTTTAGATTTTCTTGTGTATTGGTTCGGAAAACATCTCACCTCCCAAAGGAGGGGTACAGTGCTCTTCCTCTAGCAATGCAGGGTCCTCGGCTACCCACTGCCGCCTACTCCAGGAGCTGGCCGTGAGACCAGGTCAGATGACCAGCCAATCCCTTGGGACATGGACCAGCTCTCCTCTGAGGAGTAAGGAAGTAAACCAGGGACGGCGAGTGACATTCAGAATGACAGATAACCTCTGTCACGGGGAAGCAAACATCATCCTCCTAGGAGGAGGCCCCAGGGGCAACACTGTACCATCTACTGACTTCTCTTCCATTCCTCCCTAAGTCATTCTTTCCACAAATTGTTGGCAGCCCTTTTTGATGCGCAGGGCAGGTAGGTGTTCCAACAGTGAGTGGGACAAAGTATCCAACCTGAAGGAGTAGAAGATCATCTAATATGGGGATATGAGGCCCGTGCACACACGTATAACCAAATGAAGGGACATAATAGTGATGTCAACAGAGTGTCCTCCCCAAGCCATGACTGGTCATTTCTGGTTGGAAATTGGGAGAGTTCCATGGGAGAACCTTCATTCTGAATCTAATCCCTGAATACCAAAAAATGTAAGAGAACCTTATGTACAAGCGATTAGTCCATCCCATACCATTTTACCACAAGGGAAGGATGTTTTGAGCTCCCTGTTGTAAGAAGAGTGGGAACTGAAGCAAATATGGTTTCTCTGAAAATAAAACATAGCTGTGCACTATCGCTTTGTATACCGGGACATTGCCAGACTGAATATGTACCTTCTCACCCCTGCTGGCCTGGCATATCACAACTGCATGCACCAGGACCTGCAGGTGGGATTTTTAGAACCTCCTTCTCCCCCTTGGACAGGCACAGTGTATGGCCAACAGCCAACATAAATATATATGGGCGCCCTGTTCTGACTTAGTCTCCTCACAAACTTCTCTTCTTCAGATGGATGAAATGCTGTTCCTGTGGTCTTTTTACATAGCTCAATTCCTGTCACTCTGCTGTGCTCTATTAGATCATCTCTGAATTTTTTTATTTCTTGCAGTATTGGAGCTCTTGATTCAACAAAGTGTTCTACCAATGGTCTCTTGGTAGGGAATACTGTAAAGAATTGTCTGGAAGTTCTTATACTCTGTATTTTCCTTCTTCATCCTCGTACATCACAAGGGCTACAGTGTGTTGGAGAAAATCACATTCTTTGGTTGCTTAAAGATTTTGTGAATGGGGAGGAAGTCAGACATTATAGGAAGCCCTTAAGATATAGGAGAGAGACAGATGAGGAGACTGAACCCCCTGAGAGTTTTTGTGGAATGACACACACGGATTCCTTGATCGCTTTCCATGTAGGAAGCTACCTAAGTTGTGGCTGGCATCTCTCGTTTCGTATCTAGTTCATGTCAATCGTGAAACTTAGCTTTGGCTCACACTCAGCCTTACATTTAACATACCCTACTCTTCTTTCTGTTCATCATTTAATAGATTTCTTGCCATCTCTTGACGAGGAAACCTTGAGTTTATTTGCTTCATGGACAAGCTTGGATTTTCCCAGGAGAGTTCTAAAAATGACAAAGATGGCAATTGAAGGAGAAGGGAGAAAGGGACACTGGTACTTCCTGGATTTGTGCATGAACATTTTACAGGCCAAGTAAAATTTTTGTGGATGTACTGGTGTTTGGAGGTTGTTTGTAAAATCATTCTCGATGCCATGCAAATGTTTTTGGGATCCAGTGACTGATAAAGAAAAGCCCACACCCAACAGAACCCAGAGTGTGGCCAGCTCCCCTCTCTCTCCCAAACAGCCAACACTTCTCTTGCAGAGAATTATCTGCCTCCCTGAAGATGGAAATCAATGACTTAGAAACTGATTAAACAATCCAAATAGCAAGTGATAAATGGATTAACCCTCTATAATATAATTCTGCTAGCTTTTGTCTTCCGCCTTCCCCAGGTAAGTTTTCTATTCCTGGAGGCAAAACAGAGGCATGGAGGAAGTGAGGACCAGAGGGAATCATATTAAAGTGGGTGAATCCGTTTATCACTTACTGTCTGGATGGCATTTCTGCTCACATATCTGCTTCCTTTTACAGATTTGTACCCTACGGGACCCTGATTAATGTTAGCTAGTGAATAATGAAAGATAGCAACAGACATTGGGCATGGTGAGGAGGAAGATACCCCTGTGGTTAAGGCTGATCCCATAAATGGAGAGAGTTTTCTTCTTTGTAACAAACAGGGAGTGTGAATGTGACAAGGAAGTGTCCACAATAGGGAGAGAGAAGCAGAAGAAAATGGAGGCATTTCTCTCCCTGTAAGGAACCTGTTCAAGGCTTTTCAACCAGCCCCTTGAAATTGAATGATTTTGGTGCTTGAGGATGTACACAGTACTCACAAGGCTTTGTTTTCAAGGTCATGTCCCAAGGTCTGTCTTTGCCTTTGTTTAAGGATTTTCAGGAGGGGTGTGTTTTGAAGTTGGTGTGTTCAGTTACTTGTGAAGGTCTTAAGCCTAGAGACACACTGACTAACCTATTTAACCCATCTCTGGCATGAGGCTGAGCTGAGTACCTGGCAAACCTGTGTCCAGTCTACAGATTAACTTTTCCTGAGCATTTCCCGTGATCAGTGACTCTGGACTTCAGGGAGATGAGGCTGAATGAAAACAGACACCTGCGTACCTGCCAAGATGCTTATCAAAGTTGCCAAGACATTTTTGGTGTCCTTTCTGGAAATGACTACCCATTAGTGCTTCTTTGTTTTCCTTTTCAGGGACAGGAAGAATATCTCCTAAACAAGACATCTTTCCCAAGAGCTAGGTCTCCTAAACAAGAACATCTTTCCCAAGGGCTAGTGACCATGTTCTCTCCCTCCCGTCACACCATGGAGTATGGTTGCCGTCTGATGTGTGGGGCCTCGGTCCTGAGGGCTGCGTGGTCAGGGCTGAGAGTAGTGCTCACTTGATGAGTAGGCCTTCTGGATGGTTCGGTCATCCAGAGGAGCAAGGTGATTTCTGTACAAACATAGATCTGGGAAATCCTATAAAAATTAAACTCTGGATGACTTGCAAGACACGATGAGTACCATCAAACCCAGAAGAATCCAAAAGAGAACCTAGCCTAATTTAACAACTTGGTTGTAAGCAAAGCCCAGATTCTAGACTTGTTCTTCCTGAAGCAGATTCTGGCACACTGTGGGAAGAGAAGAAAGGGCCGGAGAAACTCGTTTCAGCCTGAAATTGGAATTCTTTTTTAATGTTCCCACAGCTCAGAAAGGACCGGATGGAACAGTCATTCCCAATAACTACTGTGACTTCTGCTTGGGGGGCTCCAACATGAACAAGAAGAGTGGGCGGCCTGAAGAGCTGGTGTCCTGTGCAGACTGTGGACGCTCTGGTGAGTGTGGCCCCTTGCCGCATCGGGAGCATAGACCGGGAACCGTCCGCCCGCACCCCTCTGCCATCTGGTGGTGGTGGGCTTGGAGAGTGGAGTGGAGAATGATGGTGGCAGTGATTTCGAGTGCAGAGGGGTTTTCAGGTCATTTTGATATTTTTCTTCTTTGGGTCCTAAGGGCCAAAAGTTATACCCTAGGGATCCAGGAAAAAGGGCAAAGGGAAGTTTTTGACCTGTGTCTGGCCTTTCCATGAGGTGGGTTTTTCTTTGTGTGTGTTGTTGTGGACCATAGCGAGGTAGAGTGGAAACGCCCAAGGCAGAGGCAACGTGCTTTCTTGTGTTGGATGATGCACATGTATAAAAAAGACGTCTTTGTTCTGTGGAAGTGCCTGGGGCAAATCTGAAGAGTGTGGAAGCATGAATATTGGGAGAGCAACCACAACTCCATGGGAGTCAGAGACCCCTGGGCTCCTGGGTAGTGGCATGAACACCATCCCCACTGTCCACTCATGCCATTCTCTCACATGGAACAGGCAAAAGAGACCCTGAGAGATCAAGGAGGCAGAAGGGCAGGCATTCCTAGAGCTAATAATCTGGAGTTGATCTGCTGTGATTTTTTTTTTTTTCCATTTTTAACTTATCCAAAAACTTAAGTAACAAAAAGAGACTTTTGGTCTTGTTCCTTCATTCCTAAAATGAGTTTAGATCTTCAAGTTTTGTGAAGTGGTCTTTTTGTTTTTCAGTTCTAACCAAACCATTATTTTTGGCTGGTTGTGGTCGATCGGTACTATCTATTTTGCATATTGTATCATGTCACAGCTAGACCCAAGTGCAAGGCAGAGAGGAGAGAGGATTTTGGCCTCATTTTCATCTCATCAACTATTGACTAGTAGGTGAAACACAGTTCAATTGGGTGGATGGTTCCAGCATTGAGGAGTCATTTCTCCTTTCTGCTTTTCTAATCCATGTCTTTTTCACTTCCAATCCCAAGAAGACTGAAATGACCACATCTTGGTTTACTGTAACAACTCAGTTCTTCCCTTGCTTTGTCTGCAAACCTTGGCTTTAGCCCTTTTCTATTTTGATGTTAGGTTTGTTTAGGCCTTAAGACTGACTTGAGTGGCAAATCAGTAATTTGAAAAGGACTGTGGTTTCCATTGCACACAACCCTCAACACTTAACTCTCGAGGCCCCTGACAGGGTAGTCATTTGTGCAATTCCATCAATTCATTTACTGTCCAAGCACGATACCCAGCGCTGAACTTTTTACTATACCGGTGCTAACTTAGAAGACACGGCCCTTATGATAGTGGACTCTGGTTTTTAGATACTTAAAAAGAAAATAAAACAAATACAATTCAATTCAGTGTTTTTTAAAAGCAAGCAAGCAGACAAAATCTCTACTGCCAGAAGCAAGGTCACTTGGTGGAGTGGTATTCTAAGCAAAGCATTATGGACTGCTGTAGGCTCGGATGGGTTAGAGAGGGCAGCTTCAGAAATCTCATTGCAAACTGCTGTAATTTCCCCCTTTCTTTACTACATAAGATAGGGTACTTGAATCTAATCCATGGGGCATCAGAAGTGGGAAGTTGATTTTCTACGCAAAGCCTCTCTTTCTACAACCTTCACTCAGCTTTCCCCCAGGTTTTGTCTGCTAAGTGACACAGGGGGGCATTTTAATACAGCCTAGGTATTCTCATTTCATTTTCAGAGGATTAATTTTGGTGGATCATTTGGTCCAGGTCTGACTCTGATGTTCCTGTAATGGCTGGTACCTTGGGAATAAACAGGTGGCATTAGCCTATGGGATGTGCTTGTTAAGGCAGGTGGGCAAATACTTCTCTGGGGCTTCCCTAGGGTCCTTCCAGAGAAGAGAGTGGAGCTTGGAAGAGCTGTCTTTCCCTTCCCATTGGCCTCCCTACTTCTGTTTCCGGGGAGAAAGTGGGATTCCTGACATTGGCACCTTCAGTGGTGCATTATTACTTTCTGTGGTTGCAGTCCTGGGGCCCATTTAGAATGTGAAAAAGCTTAAACCTGAGTTTTACAGATTTCAGGAGGCTCTGTTTTATTAGGCTTTTTATTTTAACTCCTATTTCTCACCTTCTTATGGCTCTGAGTTAGATTTGACAACTCTGAACTTTCTGGAATAACCGAGACCTGGGCGTGTTTAGTGGCTGGAGTGCGTGTGTGTACGTGTGCGCGCTTGCGTGTGTGTGTGTGTGTGTGTGTGTGTGTGTATCTGTGGGAACAGATCACAGAGATTTCCTCCAGTGGTTAAAGAAAACAAGAAACTCTTTTATTACCCACCACTTATCAGGCTTCCCAACCTCTTTTCGCTTTCAGTGCAAATGAACCACATGGTGTAAGGGCAGAATTGAAAGGGTTCCGAAAGAATGGGATTAAAAGCGGGCAAAAATAAAAATGAAATGGATGGAGGCTTAACCACCTTGAATGGGTTATCTGACAGTAATACCTTTGTAAAGCTGACTGTCAAAGTGAAGGGCAAACATTGTACAAAGAAACACCAACCGAAAACACCAAAGAAATCCCAACCAGGCTTTAAAACCACCAAAGAAAATCATTGTCTGGGGCAGGGTTGAGTGAGCGCGCATGCTTATGTGTGCATGCGGAAGAGAAGGAAGATCGCGGTTGAATCTTTCGCTGTCGGAAGCTGTGGACATATGTATTATAGTGGAGATGATGCTTTTTTGGGGAGGGGGGAAGCCTCTTCCCTGGAAACGTTTGCTTTGTCCCAAATCCCTGTCACCAGGTGATGTACCTGCTTACTCCCTTTTGGTGTGACAATGGTTTTATTATCTTGCTATTAAGAATAATAAGGTAATGAGAATATTAATAATGCTGTCTGTTGCTTAACCCATGTGCTGATATATTCATCATACATGTCAGCTCATTTGGGAGGAGAAGGCAGGAAGGAGAAGGAGGCAGCGGCCGCAGCACGCACCACGGAGGACTTATTCGGTTCCACATCAGAAAGTGACACCTCAACTTTCCACGGCTTTGATGAGGACGATTTGGAGGAGCCTCGCTCCTGTCGAGGACGCCGCAGTGGCCGGGGTTCACCCACAGCAGATAAAAAGGGCAGTTGCTAAACCCACGGAACAGACTCTCTGGGCAACTAGCCTCCCCCTCTGACTTTGGTCATTGTGCTGGTTCTGATATACTTCTTTTAATGAACGACAACTTTAGGTTTTCCCTTTGTCCTTGCTTTTTCCCTCTCCTCCCACATGTCCCTTCCCCTCCTGCCATCCCTCTATTTTGGGTATGAACATCAGAAGCACAAGCTACTGAAACAGAACAAAACAAAAGAGCAGAATGAGAGTTCTTCAGAGCGATGGCATTGTGATGTGCTATTTATTTTCCATAGAACTAGGCAGTTAGGTGGATTATCTCTTTTTTGAGGGGAGGGGGTCTTTTTGACATGAGCAGAGTTGATTTCCTCAACTTTCATATTTATTGGCCAGATGAAGAGAAGAGGAACTTTGGGTTTGGAAACAAAGAACCAATAACATTTAAAAATTATTATTTATATATTCTAGCTATTATTAGAATCAGAGTTTTTTTTTGAGAGAGAGAGAGAGAGAGAAATCAAAGAAATCGTAGTGATATCCTTTTAGAGGCAAGCCACTGAGGGGAGAGTTTCCTCACTGGGAGATGATTGCACTTTCCGTGCCCCACGGAGTTTGAGGCTCCCCACGGCAGACCCCTCCCCACTTCTCCTCCCTGACCTTTCCATCTTCCTCTCTGCTTGCAAGAAAATGTCAGCGGCTCCGGAAAACTCGGGGCACCCCTGTCTGGCCTCCCTCCAGCGCCAGGGCCCTGGCCAGCCTCCTCTTTGGCTCCTCCTCCATCAGCAGAACTGCTGTTTTGTTGTTGCTGGTTTTTCTGCACTTTCCTCCTGGCGAAGAACAACTTCCAAATGCAGGAATGGGACACGAGCAGAAAGTCATGGGCTCCGCAGTGACAACACAACCCGAGGCCATGCTCGTGGAAGAAAGAAGGAGACCTCACAGTATCTTCCCCAGCCCCTCGCCCCTGTTTAAACACATATAAATACTTGTTGGATGATCAAGTCTCCTGTATTTCTTCTATTTTTTATAGTGCCGGCCAGGCACTTTGTTTTATGTTTCCAATAGCATCTCCTGAACTAAACCAAAGCAACACTGCTCAAGGCCCCTGGGGCGACGGAGAAGAACACCCACCTCGCTGACAGTCCCAAGAACCACCGGCTGCGAGGTCCTAGTCAGAAGGTATGTCTTGGCTGACCTGTCTTACGATGCGGGCAAAACCATCATACTTTTTGGTTTTTTTAGTTTTCTTTTTGCTTTGTCCCCACCCCACCCCACCAGCTTGGTTTTTTTTTTTTTTTTTTTTTCTTTTTCCTGGGTTTGGATCCCCTTCTTAGTGTGGGAGCAGCTACTGGAGTGCCTTCTGCCTGCTCTCCGTGCCCGTGTGTGCATGCAGACCCATGCGGGCCAGACAGGTGCGGGAACTGAGGCTTGCTTGGACTATGGGAGGGCTCTGTGTGGAGAACAGTGGGCTCTGGCTTCTGGCTTCAACTACAAGAGAACATGGCTGGGGAAGTGCTTGGCTAACTCTGCTTCCCTTGGCTAAACCTGGAAGTAGAGTCCAGGGAACAGAAGTTGGATGTTGGCTGCTGGCTTTGTGTAGGAATAAGCAGATATGGCCACAGGGCACTGCATGTCTAGGTGGTATTCCTTGCTCTGGGTACCAATGTCACAGCCAAGGGGATGAGTTCAAATTAAAGAAGATCCTGGATTAGGCACAACACTCCAGCGGGCTGTTTTGAAGATTCTGAATTCCCACTAAGAGTGGCTAGGGTCTCCGGCCTCCAGCCTCTGGGAGAGCACAGGTCCAGAGACACAGGCAGTGCCATTTGTCTTGGGTTTGGAGATCCAAGTGGCTCTCAGTTAACAGGCTGCTTGTAAGTGTCTGGGAAGATCTGCTTTGACAATCCAGCCTTT